TTCAACACATTGGACACTCTTGTAAGTGTGTATCTGATAGAATTGTTTGGTAAACTACTGCAAAGAATGCAAATTAAAACTCAAGCTTTTAAAGGAAGACAACCTACTGAAAAATATTTGAAAGAGAAATCTGTTAAAAGAACATAGCTAAAGTACCTGTGCATCCAAATAAACAGAAAATGTGGGCATTTAACAGTTACTCTGAAATGTACAAGTAGTGAGTGTTCCACAAGTTTGTATTTTTAAACAACTCAGCACCGTTACATCTATAATTGCTGAGTTTCTAAAAACACATATACACATAAGGCTTAGCAGGAACTCCCATTAAAAAATAGCTGTTGAATGAACAAAGTAACTACATTAGAAACAGACAGGAGATTTCAAGAACAACAAAACTGTTCAGAACTCTACGGACTTGTTTTCCAATTCTGTGCTGTTAAAAATATATGCACTTCTCTGCAGCACAAACTTGCCTGCAGAAAATGTAAAACAGAGTTTAAATATTAATCATTTTATATGTAATTGTTCTGTAGAAGACTGATAGCTAGACATTAACAGAATGTAAATGTTCTGTCTGAAGTCTTTTTTGTATGGGTCATAAAGTATCTGGTTCAAACCTGGAACGCGGAAGGAAGGTGAGTAGGTGCTTTATTCCATCTAGTTCCTTCTGCCTTGATTCTGCAGATACGGAATTTCCTACACATTATATACATGTACCTGTTTGCAGCTATTGTGATGATGCACAGGACTGGAAGGAAGCAGTGAAGATTGGGCAAGACCAAAGAAAATGCTTGGGGAATTCTCTGTGAAATGCCTTTTGCAAGGGTGTTGGGTAGTGGAGCCTCCTATCAGCCAGCTCTTCATTAGCTGTTATCACTTGTGCCTTTTCCTACAGTGCCCTCAGCATTCTCAGACTTGCAGTCTTCCTTATCTACACTAAAAGGTTTTCTTAGGTCTTTGCACCTAACTTCAATCCTGCAGCAAATGCACTGTTTGCATGCCTTCAGAAATCAGCCTGCTGAAGAGACAGAAGCTTAAGAGACAGACAGCATAAGCAACACTTCAAGAACCATTAGTCAAAAGACGAACGAATACAAACCTTTTCTGTTTTCCCCCAGACAAAAGCTGTGCTGTTCATGTAACAGGACATTGACAGCATCTGGATTAGAAAAAAAAAAAAAAAGAAAAAAAAAGCCAAATAAATAAGACATGAAGGTCTGAGTAAGTACCTTTGAAAGAAATTAATTAAATTGCAGGTACTAGAAAGCGGGAAATCAGTTTATTTTGGAAAAGTGGTTTGGGATTCATAACTTCCTCTCTTACAATAAAAAAGCAAGCAATCCAGACACACACAATGAACAGTGGCATGCTTCCAAATAAATAAGCCCGCTTTTGTGGTTTTGTCACTTGTTTCCATCTTTGACTACACAAAACTCTGGCATTTTCAGCTCTCCTTTCTGAAAACCAGTGTCCTTGAGTGGGCAAGAAAAGCTTTCTCAGGCCACAAGGATGATGCTGAAAGCAAAGTATCTCACACCACATCTCCATGAGCATTTCTGACACGTGTAGGCTGGTACTGCTGCTCTCTCCAGCCACTTGCTCTCATCATCCCTGACTGCCCAGCTCTTACCACCACCGTGAAGGCTTACTCACCTGCACAGTAACCCTCAGAAAGCTCATACAGCTAAAAACTGCTCCAGAAAGAAGGAATGGGGACCTTACTGCCAAAGGAAGTCAGGAAACATTGGTTTAATCAAATTACAGCCTGCAAAGGCTTTACCCAAGGAATAGTGCCGATGTTTTTTCCTTTAGCAATACCAGCCATTGCATGCATCCATGACACATGATGGCATAGGACACACAGTTGACCTTGCCCAAACATCATCACGGTTGCATGCAGCACCATCTACAAGCCTGGCATCATCACCTTTCAGATGCACAGTAAAATCAGGAGGACTTCCAAGCAATTTAATCTGTGAATAAGAAAACAGATGTTTTTCTACTAGGGTAGCTTCAGGTTTGAGTGGATAGAAGTTCCTAAAAGGAAACAGCAGTTCAAGGTGCTTTTATTTTTTTAAAACTACCAAACACACCATAAAGCAAATATACTCCACCATCACAGTCATTACAATTATCTTTGTATCAAGAGTTTTTATGCTGCTTGAAATTAGATTAATTTATTTAATTTATATGAAACTGTATTCTTTGTTTATGTGTTGGGTGTTTTAAAATTAGTTTTAAACAAATGTAACATTAGTTTTAATTAAGACTACCTATTTTAGCACAGGCTAGACTCTAAATGCATCAAACCCATTCAAAATGTGAAGCTATTCTGCTACCTTATAAGATTTTTAAAGGCTTTTCAGCTTGAGTAAGTAGTTTAATTTATTTAACATAGTGATTTGTAACCCACATATGAAAAAATGATAGCGGCATTAAAAAAAGTCTGTGTCTATGAGTCCTCTAGTAGAACTTGAAAAATGGCCACACAACACTGACAAATTTGCTCCTTTAGTATTAAAAAGCAATGGTCCTGGATAACAGTCTCTAGTGTCCTGGCAAAGAGGAAATACCTGCAAATATTCTTTAATCAAGATGAATGCTCTCTTGTGGCTGTGAAGGAAGAGCCAACAAGCAATTACTTTCAACCTAAGTGTTTTCAAAAGAGATTAGCTGTATCCAGACAGAGGTTCAGCATCCCTAGTTAAGCCATAAATCTTTCTTTGCCCCAGGTCCTGAGCAACATGGCTGCACTGACCATCATGCTGGATAGGATGCTTGCTATGGGGAACCTAATGCAGCCTAAGAAACCGCTGTGTCTCTCTCACCTGAGAAAGAACTTAAAGAAAGAATGAACTTAATTCATTCTTTAGCCCAAACTCACCCTCACCCTCATCTCTTTTGGAATTAGGGACCCCAATGTCCCAACTGTTTCAACTCAAGTCTTCACAGAAAGTGTCATAGTGACCTACACACCCCAAAATTTCAAGTTCTTTTGAGTACTGGAGAGAAATTAGGACATATTGTACTTATCCATCATGGAGAAACAGTTAATCTGGCAGACAAAACCACTACATGCCTTAGATGACAACACAGTGCTCCTTGTGGCAAAAACTTAGAAATTTCACAAGTTTATAATAATTTGCTTCTGAGGCCAAATCGTTTAATTCCATTGTCAAATTTAAGAGTTTCAGGAATCTACATTCCACTAATGTAAAATCCTTGAATTTTTCCCAGTGGGTTTTAGGTCCAGTTCAAAGAGGCACACTCCTATACAGGGCCAACATAAGCAATTGAAATAGCAGAGCCACCCAAAAATGGGGAAGATTGCATCTCCTGCTTTTGACGTGATTCCTCATTTCAGTACATCATCCACTTTTCTCTTACTGGCAAGCAAATACACTTGCAGCTGAGTAGAGGCACCTCCAGCACTCGGGTACCGTTCCTGGCTTCTTCCTATTCCAGACAACACAAAATGAGGAGAGGGTGTCACCCTCTACATCAATGACCCGCTGGAGCACATGGAGCTCTGCCTGGGGATGGGTGAGGAGCTGACTGAGAGCTTATAGGTCAGGATTAAAGGGAGGGCAGGGACAGGGGACATCATAGCAGGGGTCTGCTACAGGCCACCCAGCCAGGAAGACCAAGCAGGTGAGGCCCTCTATAGACAGATAGGAGCACCTTCACATTCACAAGCCCTGATCCTCACAGGGGACCTCAACCACCCCAATACCTGTTGGAGGGACAACACAGCAGGGCACAAGCAATCCAGGAGGTTCCTGGAATGCTTTGATGATAACTTCCTCCTCCAAGTCATAGAGGAGCCAACGAGGAGAGGTGCCGTGCTGGATCTTGTTCTCACCAAGAAGGAGTGATGGGTGGGGAATGTGAAGCTCAA